AAATAATTTTGTAAATCTGTCTAGTTGTTTTTTGTGATGAGATGAAGCCGGCTTTTTTACTTCATTAAAACCACCATTAAACGAGCTTTAAAAAAAGTATGCATAGCTTTTCTTTAGTTTTGTTCCTCACCGTTATATTTGACAGCTTCAAATTTTTTCGAATTTCTCCATCAAAAAAAAAGCTATGTGCACTTTTAAAGCTCGTTTAATAGCGGTTTTAATGAAGTAAAAAAGTCGGCTTCATCTCGTCACAAAAACAACTAGACAGATTTACAAAATTGTTTTTGAATTTTTCACAGTTAGAGTTCCAGACGTCCATACTGGATAGACCTTTGACTTCAATCTCGATCAAGCATCATTCTCATATACAGTTTTTAATGCGGAATGTGAAGAGAACACTTTCAAAAAAGTTAGAATCGCGAAAAAAAAAGGTGAAACTGAGCGATTTTTCAAAATGTTTTGAATTTTTAAGGAAGAAAAATATTTTTAAAAGAGCTTTTTTCTTACACAGCTCGATATGCTCTATCTAATCATGTGTAAAAAGATGGAAAAAAACTCTGCTGCAAGTTTGCATTTCCGGCACCTTAAATCAATATCTTGAAGCTTTTATGAGAAACTCTATAGAGTTTATTGCTTACATTATAGCAATATATATTCACTTTGTTTTACGTAAAAATTGTACGCTAGTGAAATACTTTACTGATTAATCTGCCACTAGATAATGTTCGTACTTTTTGTCTTGTTGTATTTCTCTCTTTTTTATCAGATTTTGTTATTTTTGTTTTTTAACATGTAAATTGTTGTACGTTACATTCGAGAGAGCAGTGTGACGATAAAGTTTGATCATATACTTTTATATAGATCTTTTCTCATGATACGTTTGTTGTCCACTGTTAGTATATGTCTCAGTTTGTGTTTTTGTTTGTATAACATTAGTAATACAGAAAAGAAAAAGAAATTAATTACATCAAAAATTTAATAAATTTTACTTCAAAACTCCAGTACAGGCGACACGGTCGTCAGATATTTTGAGAGATGATGTTCATCACCGCCATTGAGGAATCATTCCGAAATATAAGTATGACTAAATATTTTTGTCGTTTCTGCTACTTGATATTTGTATCCAAAGTCCACGTTTTGTCTTTGATGACATATTCAAAAAAGTCAACGCCAAAGACAAAACTAACTTATGAGATTGGTGGGTCAGTTTGGATTTAAATGTGACAAAGCGAATAAAAAATATGAAGATGTAGCACAAAATTTAACATGTGTTTCATAAAAAAATCGGAAGCTTAGCGTTGTATAGTTTCCTTCTGCTGTATCAGCGTTAATATACACTTTTAATTGTTTTTTATTAATCCAATATACATCTTGTATGTGAAATATATGTTTTAAAGCTTTTTTTACCGTTTATAGACGGTGAGAATATACTCTTATCAGTTTAGTATATTTATTCCCTAAAAGAAGTGATTTAAATTCTGATTCTGACCAAACATATCAATCAGAAAACGTATTTCAATCACAAATTCAGACACTAACCGATCAATTTAAATCATTAATATAAAATTCATATGCTGGATCACTTAATATTATACGTTCTTTGATACACGCTAATTCTTTATTAGCAGCTTTTAATCTCCAAAGTAAAGATAAATAATGATGAGTCACAGCCTATTATGTCTAAGTATAAAAACATATCACCAACAAAAAAATAAAGTTCATGCACAGTCGGAGAAAAATGCTTTTTCTTATTCAGCACAGTCGATAACCCAGAAGATTTTCTATTTTTGGCGAGGGGTATTGCTAAAAGCTTAAGAAAAATTTTGAAACTAATATTATTTTCTCATGAAAACATTTTTCTAAACTTTTGACAATACCCCGCGCTAAAAATAAAACATCTTCTGGATTATCGCGTGTGCTGAATACAAAAAGCACTTTTCCGCAACTCTGCATGAACTGTATTGTTTTCTTCATGTTGATATGGTACAGCACTTGCTCTTGCCATAACATCTCGATGGAGTGAATTCGGACTAATTGAAAGAACTTTTTTAGAGGTAATTGTGCCATCTATTGTTAAATTCGGAAGAGAATCATTTTGGTCACTGATTTGACGAAAAATAAATCAGATTTCACCAGCCTACTGATTGGTATCATTTAATGTCGTAATTTGCTTATTGCATTTCTTTCATATTTCTATTGTTCTAATTTTATATTTGGTTAATTGCAGCTTATCCGACAAAAATAAAAACAGACACTGAAATCCCATTTTGCATGAAATTTTCAAACTGACAATGATTGCTCATGTTGTATTTAAGTATATTTATCAACAACAAGAACATAACATTTGTTTGTCCTGTATTTTTCATTCTCTATTCATCTTTTTCTTTCCAAGAATCTTGTCTTAGATTTAACTGACTTTCTTTTAATACAATAGATTCCACAGTCGATTTTATCATATTAGATTTTCGAGGTTCGTTTCTAATCAAACGTTCAATACTGTTGCGTGGCGAAAAAATATTTTGCATAACATTTAATTCTGGAGAAATATGCGATAGAGACGAAGATGAGTTTTCACAATCGTTTGGATTCACACGGGATAGTGATGGACGAGAGTCAAGCATTGATATGTTATTATTATAAAATGGCTCTCGTTGATTATGAAAAGAATATGGATTATTTTGTTGTCTTGATATTCTCACCGTATCATTCTGTTTTTGTACTAGATTTTGATTATTATCTAGATTTTGTTGTGGAGATGAATGATTGGAATAGTTTTGTGGATACATTTGAGGTTGCTGTTCAACTGTTAGATGAAACGGTAATTGTTGTTGCCGTCTCACTCTTACTTGCATATCTTGCTCTTCTTGTAAAAGTTTTTGCATATAAGAGTGTTGAATATGACTTATATATTCATTTTTATACTGACGAATATCTGCCACCTTCTGCATCAGTTGAACTCGTCTGTGTTGCTCTAATCGTTCTTCGTTGTGTTTTCTCCTTTGAAAATGTTCTAGACGTAACGCATTTAAAGCCTCACTAAAATGATATTCATAAACTGCAAAGCGTGAGTGTTTTTCGTAATTAGTTTGCTCTGCGAATAAATTGAGTAATTTACTAACCGAGCATCACGTAAAGCTGTCAATTTTTCTTGTAACGTTTCCAAATTATGTCGTTGATATTCTATTTGACTTTTAGCCTGTTCAAGATCTGTTGCACATGTTTGCAATGCTATGAAACTTGACAATAACGCCGTATCACCAGTTGCATCTCGGTTTCGTATGTAATTACTTTTAGCTCGATTCACGAAACTAGATATTGCTTCTGATGTCTTTTTCAACAATATATCTATAGTTAAATTTGCTTTTTCATCCAAAAGATGTATAGTTGAAGATGTCGGATATGCTACAGATTGATATACGGTCTGAACTTGTCGCTGTAATCGGTGAGACGGGTGTGGTATACTGTATTCTTGATTTGATTCTTTAATTTGAATTGTCATGGGTGTTCCTTTGAATGGAGATGTTGTCATCTTTTGTCCTGTTGGTTTTATCTTTAATTCATTATATTTTCTCTTTTGATTTTCTGTTGTACGCTCACGCTCTTCCGCTTCGCTTCTTGATATTGCCAAAGCCAGTTGAAATTCTTCGTCAATGATATTATGTCCTCCTAAGAAGCTGCCCAACGCCTCATCAACAAGCACTGCCTTTTTATGAGCTAAAGTTGTTTCGACACATTGAAGACATATTCTTTCATGCGGTTTTGGCAGCTATTGTAAAAATTTGTGTGATAATTTTACACTTCCAAATTATAAAGAAATAACTGCAACTTACCAACTTTGTCAATGCTCTATATTCATCACCACTTTGTATTTCTATCCAACATTTCTGACAATATTTTTTTGAACAATATATACATGGTTCTCTATTAGCACGACTAAGAAACTTTGATTTTATCCGACATCTTACACACGTACCATCATCTTGTTTTCTATTCGCATCCTTCATGGGCACTTGCATTTTGATATCATCATTAATATCAATTCGTTAATTAAAGAAATTGAAGAAATATAGTTTGATACAGTAATAAATTGCTAAAATAAAACGCGCCTTGGGTCTCGTCCCATAAGCAAAACTGTATCTTAATTTCATATTTGAACATATTCTGCTTGTCTTTTACTCTAAGTTGACATGGATACAACAGTCTGAAGAGATATTTGTCTTTTATTTGACAAAGACATTGTATCGTGTAAGCTATTTTGCTGATAAACCCAGTCGTATATTCTGCTGTGAATGGTGATCGGGTAGGTTTTGTATAACATTGTTTCACTTTTATAATTTTGTTCAGACGACTTTTTTCTTGAAATATTAAATGTTTAGAGAATAAGGACAGTCACTGAGATGAAGTTTAAATAAATTGTAAAAGTTTATGATTTTTGAAAGTTTTAGTTTGTACTGTTTAGCTCACGATATCTTTAGTTTAAATAAAAATTCCCAAAACTAAAGTAACGTCGGTAGACTTATCTCAGCCGTTAGCCTCTAATAGTTGACTAGTATGAATCCTTTTTTATACTCTAAATTTTGCAAAGAACATTTAGACATAAAAGAAAACTACACAACATACACCTCTGAAACACTGCACAACAAGAAGTGTGATTTGATTGTTATGCAAAACATTTCCCTACAGAACGTACTTGGGGCCAAGTACTTGGACCAAGTAATTCGTCTGCGTAATGAAGCCGGTACTTGACTTTTTTTCAGAATTAACTTTACTTGTAAGTACTTGTCCTTACTTGTTAAGTACTTCTTAGCAATAAGGCGAGTATTTCGATCATTGACAAGTACTTAGCAAGTAATCAAGTACGTTCTCTAGGTTGGAAGATCTCATTATAGCTTCCCTAGTGAATGTACTTGCGAGGGGGTGCCTGTTTACTTGCAAAGTTCCACGGGTAATTGACACCACTTGACAAGTATTTTCAAAAAAGATTACTTGATAAATGCCTGAAAGCACTTACCAGGTACTTAATTTACTTGTTGAACCTCCCGCAAGTACTTGATAATTACTTGGGTAAGTGCTGGGCAAAGGACTTGATAAGAATATAAAGTAATTCAAGTACTTGATTTCCTTGGCAAGTACTTGGTTTACTTGCAAAACAGCGGACGAAACCTGCTAGGGTAGTTGATCATGTACCTGCATGCAAGTACATTCACTAGGGTATATGATGTGGTTTTTGCAATCTACCAGTTCCATACGTTTACACTTCTACGTAGAGATCAGACTTTGACAGACAAGAATCAATCAACAGATTATCTCCATCAAGTCCTTGGTTGTAAGTCGAAAATTAAGAGGTTCTTACAAGAACAACTCTTGCAGTTTGGTCCAGTAGATTTTCTTGTAAAACGAAAATAATAAGTAGTTGTATTTGACACGTATTAATCGACAAAATTCTACTAAACGGCTTGTCCAAGCGCATCAGCAAAAAAACGTAAGGCTGTAACATGTTGTGAAATTCATAGCTCTTCAGCCGAGCAATGTACAGAGTTGGAAAGAATATTCTTACAAGCTACCGTATGACTGTTCGAAAATGACAAAGTATTTAAGTTTTTAAATATCGTTTAGTGTAATTAACCTAAGCAGAAAAAAAAATCGTGAAGTGAGCGCTTGCATCTAGAGTAAAGGCACATTTTGGTATTCTTCTAGTCTTTTTTAAGAATCTGTGATTGCTCTCTGTGATCTTTTATATCAAATGTATGCCAGATAGCTTAACAATGTAAATAAAAACAAAAATAAGTGATTATTGCTAAACTTTGGTCGAATAGATTTTGTAAATTTCTATTGTAAACTAAATATAACTATTCATAGTAAAAATTATTTCTCTTTTTTGTATCTGATGCCATTTCTGTACTAAATTTTATTAACCTTTATGAGAACAATAAACTTATATATAAAAAATAAAAGATTAAAGGCATATTTATCTAGCTTCAAATGAGTGCTGTTATTAATCCGGCAATGAATTGTCCGATGAATCGTTTGATGCCGTGGTCGCCTCAGCTAGAGCACAATCTCAATCAGCATGTATCTAGATAAATGCATCTTTCATTCTAGCTGATGTAGCTGCAAGTGGACGCTACAGCCAGATTTTCGTACTTGCTCAGTTTTACTTTGAATATTGAGAATCAAAATATTGTAATTTTTATGAAAATCGAGAAAAAAACTGATTATGTCAGATTATGTGAAATGAAAAACAACTTAACTCTTAAGCAGGAAAAATAATAGACAAGATGGAAAATTCAAGATTAATGAAATAGATCGGCAGCCAGTTTTTATTATTTTTTTAACAGTACGTCTAATCTGGCTTAGTATCGCTATGAAAATAAAGTCGTGCCGATTCGAGAACGACATAATAGTAAAAAGATCTTACACGATCATTATTCATGTTGTTGATCTTTTTTCTAGTGTAAAAGTTGTTTCACTTTTACACAATGCTATTGAAAATTTTTTCTTTAAATTATGATAACAATCTTAATATAATATTTTATATACATTTTATATAAAAATATATTATGAATGCGATTTCATATCCTGAGTTATCATTTCTTTCAAATATTATGCGTAACAATCAAGCCACACTTCTTGTTATATAGTGTTTCGAAGGTGTATGTTTTGTAGTTTTCTTGTATTTCTAAATGTTCTTTCCAAAATTAGGAATTACATCCATTCTAGTCTAGAGTTTTGAATCGATAGATTTTTTATTGTTAACCACTAGGGTCTTTTATATAAAAACTTGTTATTTTTTGTATGATAAATAAAGGTATGACCTTGAAACCGAAATGAAAAATGTTGTCCTTGCCAAAAAAAAGAAGCCAACAGCTGATTGCGAAAATAAAGAACGATAAAAATACTGTTCCAACTCGTTTTGTATATAAAGGTGAGAAAAAAAAATCTTTTTAAAAGATTTCGTACAATTGTCTAGTCTCAACTGAATAAATATAAGGCAAACAAAAAACTAAAAAATTTTTGAGAGAATATAATCAAATTGGCTAACGGGAAAAGACAGCGCACTTGTTATAATTTCATTTTATTACGATCATCATTCAATAAAAAATGAAACGATGAATGTGTAAAAACCTTTTACATGAGCCATAAAGATGATCTTTCAATAATATTATAACTGATTTTTCTTGGTTCCCGTTTGTACAAATGTAAGGTAAGACATTTTATTCTAAATAAAGAATGAGACAAAAAAGAAATGTTGCTCTCTTTCTCTCATATGAAATAAGAACGAAAGAAAGAAATGAAAATACCATTGAAATAATGATATGGGTTCTCTTGTATCCATTTTCTTTTCTCTTTCTCTCTCGCTTTTTTTATGTTTCAAACTAAAAAAAAAACGTCGGCTGTACACATGTGACATATACATCTGAATATGTTCAATTGTGAAGAAGACAGAGTGCGCTTTGTTCAGAATATGTACATATAGAAGAAAAAAAAAAGAAAATGAACTAAATCACACTCAAACTTGTGGTAAGAAGTAAAAGATTTTCTATTTACTTTCGTGTTTCGTCGATTTTTTAATTTTGAAAAAGAAGAAAAAACATCAAATAAATTATCCTTGTAGGTTATATAGTGAAATAAAGTGGATATATTCAAGAAAATACTGTCAAATATGAAAAGCAATTAAAAAACATTTTCAAATACTTCCGACAACGTTGATGAGAGACAGTTGTGTTAAAAGGAAGATTGAAGATTCAAGTATATTTTCGTTTTACAGTGAATAATTATTGGTACAATAATCACAGATACAAAATGCCAATTTTCTCATTTATTATGTTTCAGTTATATTTATAGTTCAGTCGCTACAATAGCTAAAGAGAAATAAAAGGTTAGTTTAAGGATTGAGAAACATAATTGACAACTTTATGTGGTATAGTTCCAATGAGAGTAAAAATTTGTACACAGGCTACAGTGATCGATTTGATTACAAAAACTATGTCTGCAAGGTGAATATACTGCATAAAGATATCTTTTCAGTTCTTCAACCTACGTTTATGTAGCGTTAATGAATGACCGTAGTAGGTCTATAATGTTTTGTTTTTTTTTCTTCTTCTATTCACCGTCTGTTCGAACGATAGACATTAAATTTGACCCCTATTCATAGAATCAAATAGTCTGTACGGTGTCATTGTGTGGTCAATCGACTACAGGCAAATTTATTTCAACTATTATTTTTAATAAATTGTATGTCTATTACCTAAAATGTTGGTCATAAATATTTATAAACCCTCTGGAGAAAACTTACTATGACTCTATCTCATAAATTACATCAATTGCCAGAATCGCTTTCCCATCAAAATGTTCTCTCTTATTTCATACACTTCTAATGCGAAAAATTGTCAACTTTTTCAAAAAGTTTGATATCTCATGCGTCATATTAACTACACGCAATAATCGAGTTCGATTCCAGTCTTCGGATGTTTATTTCTTGATTAAATATGCTAGAAAGAACTTACAATGTTCTGGTGGAGAAACATTTTTGCTAGGCCATGTTGTTCAGTAGACAATATCACAGAAAGTTTTCGCCAGAAGATTTATAAACACTTATGATCAACGCTGAATACAGGGAATGAACAAGACGTTTTTTTGTTTTTGTTTTAATAGGAAGGAAACTATCATTTGCAGGGTTTTCACCCGTTTTCTCAAATAAAAATTGATTTAATTGTGTTCTATGCAAAATTCCATCAGTCTAAATAATGTAGATTTGTATAGAACGAAAATGATAGAAATGTTCAGGAAACATGACATGTGTGCAATGCATTTCTAAAATGTTTTATTACGCCTATTTATATTACTTTTATGAGTGATTTATTTATTACAAATGATAAGCTTCATCATATACAACGTATATTACACAGTAGACAAAGAACAAAGATTTTCAAGGTTTTGAAAGTTATTTTCAATTCAATTAAGGATAGAGAGAAAAGAACTGCATATATATTAGTCTCTGACATATGTAGATATCGGCTGATCCGTTATTTTTAGTGCATTCAAAGTTTAGATCTAATCTCAATTGTCCCCAATTCTGATGATCTTATTTTATGCTATCTTTGCTAATATTCTCGTTTATAAGCAAAGAGTAGGATGCTTATTTTTTATATTCTTCTGTGAGCCTTGGTGTATAGTAACAAATGTATTGTTTGAACTATTTAACCTGATTTTGAAATATTTAATATTTGAAATGATGTGTGATTAAATGAGTCATAAAATCTTTTTTTCTTTCTCTTTCTATCTCGATTTGTTGACAATGACAAACTAAATGATTAATTTACAGTAAATTCAGCAATAAATATTTTATATACACTGGATAAACAACATTTTCAGTCAAATTTTTTTCTTCTACTTATTTCCGAGTAAATAAGATTTTTGTTTAAAAAACAATTTGATCTTATTATTAGAGGATAGACTATAGATTCTCAGCAATATCGATATAAACTTATAACGAACTCTTAACGAGAATGAATTGTTATTCTACTAAAGAGGACGTATAGTTTGTTAATATCAGTGTTCATAGTACTTGCCTTCTTTCGCATGAAGACATCGAATATTAGCATTTTGTTTTCATTTTATTTTGAATGAGTCTGACATTATAAGTCTGAGTGGGCATGTTTGTTGTTATGGCAGTTATAAAAGTATCGTGACATGTATTTACGACACGATATAATTTCTCGTCTTGGAAAATCAATGACATTTTAATAATATCATTTCAGAACAGATAATTAAAGAATCTATGTTTTGAAACGCAGTTTCTTTTTAATATGTAATTAACTTCCGTTCATAAATGACGTTGGATGTATATTATGTGAAATAAATTTCAAGCGTAGCTAACTAAAAAATATTTCGTAGATGGCAATAATTTTGTTTTTTCTATATGCAATATATTCACTTCCTTACGATTAGTTGATATTTGTTTATTTTCATATAATAACAGAGAAAAGAGAAAAAGAGAGAACTGTATTATTATAATCAAATAATGACAAGATTATGATAGGAATAAAATGAAAGGATAAAAATATTCTATATGTTGGAAAAAGAAAGCCAATTTCTATTGTAAAGTTAATTAATTTTACACCAATTATCAACTGATTCACCATGGAAAACAAATGAAAGTATCCATAGACATTCATATTTTAATTAAAGTATATTTTAACAAAACAGTATTAACTTTAAGACGGTACAAGAACTGTGTATAAATTCAACTATCTATTTTGAGTTTATGTGCAGATTAGGCCTGTAAAAGTTCATGTTTCGTTCCTTAAACGTGAACGTTAAAGCACCGGTAAACGTGAGCGTTTTTTATACGAACGGTGTTCATATTGTCTGACATAAATATAAAATTCTGTTCTTGTACTGTAGAAAGAACATACATATTTCTGCTTGGCCTTATCTAATCAATAGAAACTCTAGTGAACGATCAGATGGTCTGGTTCGGGCAATTACCAGATTATTGCAATGTAAAAAGGATAGCCATTGATTCTCTGATCAAGACACTGATTCTTCTCAGAACAGATCGCCGATTTCCTGACCAGAAGACTAGTTTTTCTTGCAGTGGAACCGATGTTCTCTGCAAATCGTTTCAGTAACTACATACGTTTTCCTTTGTTATCGTAACCTATGTGGGACAGACGACCATTGATTTTTCACTAAATATAACTGGTAATGGAGAAAGCTGTTTCACTTGGTATACTACTAGGTGAAATTGCTATATAACGTTTTGCAATACTATTCATTCCACATAAGATCAACACCGTCCATATAAAATAAAGTTCATGTCCACCAGAACATTCGCGTTCACGTTCAAAAAACGTCATATTTAGCGTTCACGTCCAAGGAACGCCAACGTCCTTTAGCGTTATGTTCAAAGAGAACGCTAAAAAGGAGCGCTGAACTTTTACAGGCCTAGTGCAGATGCAAGAACATACGTTTTGGTGACATTTCTATCGCAGTATATTTTTGTTTTTCATGTTAAAAATAGTAAAAACACCACTATTTTTCGTTTACTAGTTCTGTTAAATCACTTGTGTATGTCTAAACCAATATCATATCGATATACAATCATAATACAATATGTATAAGGATGATGTAACTGAAAATAAGAAATTTTCAAGTATTGATCGAGAATTTTATCGCTATTATATCCTAACAGGTTCATGTGTTGCAACGATGAAGGAATGTTCAAGATCTATTTAAAAATAAGAATTATAAATAAGTTAATGATTAAAATCGCGTCTTCTCGACTTGTAAATTAAACATCAGTTGTTAATATATATTATTACTGATAACACGATCTGAAAGAAGGAGAAAAAACTGGAATCCAGATTTTTTTCTCTTCCTTCCTCTTTTTTCATTTAATAAAAGCTTATATTAATTTTTGTATTATTACTGACGGGATGATAGCGGGAGTGTCAATCTTAACAATAGCATATTTATTTTACTTGCTATATGTATTTATAGAGGGTATAGCTCATTTATTGAATTTTTTTTTATCTAATCAGTTCAAGCTCCACGGTCCATTTCCTTTTTTAGATGAACATAAGACAAATGTGATAAAATCTCTCCTACAAAAAGGTGAAAACTGTATTATATCCTGGACCTACTGGAGACAGTTGCGGTGACGGATCCGTGATTTTTTTAGAGAAGGGACATTGCCCAAAAGAAAGTCTGTCAGACGTAGTATGAAATGACGTTTTAGAAACAAATTTTTGTTTGTTTTGCTCATCATTGCGCTGATACAGTTCCACACCAATTTTTAGGAGGGAAGGAAGATCGTCGTCATAAATCCGTCACTAAACAGTTGAATAATCGATAAATAAGATATTCCATCAAAATATTATCGTTTTTTCTTTTTTGTTTTAGGTTTCTATCGTAAATATGTCAGATATATTTGAAACAATATCTCCATTAGTTAGTTCTTATATTTAAAATTGAACGATGAATAAACGTACATTATTATTTTTGAGTAAATTAGCTGTTATTATTCTATGTATATTAGGATTAGCCGAATTAGGTTTGGCCATATGGACCGCTGTAGAACCTCGTTATAAAGCATTAGCCCATACATTATCCGACGTTGGCTATATTGATATATGGCTATTACGTTACTTATCCATGTGTCTGTTTGCAGGTGGAATAATAACATTAGTCATGTGTCTAATATTAATTTGGGGTCTTTGTTCAGCTAACGTTTTTATATTTATTGCATCGACTATGTTGACGTTTGTCATAGCAGCTGAATTTACTTTAGTCATTTTAACATTTACAAGTAAATTTGACACACGACTTCTATTACAAGAACAACTACCTAAATTAGGTAAGCATACACACTGTTGAAATTTATCATCAATCTTTGAGCACTAACTACTTTTTACCATATCTGTTATATATTGTACTCTTGCATTATTTCAGTTATTAGTTATCGACAAGGAAATGACGAACGAGCAAATCGTGCACTAGACGTTCTTCATCAAGCGTTTAAATGTTGTGGTTCTGATGGACGTTTATCATTTCAAAATCAGGCACCAGCTAGTTGTGGTAGTTCAACTCGTCTTTATACAACGGGTTGTTTAATACGAACAATCGATTTTTTAAATATACACATGGATGTTATGGCCTATTTTCTCTTATTTGTGAGCATATTGAAATTATTTATTGTTATTTACTATTACACTTATTTGTGTATTCGACAACGTTACAGAAAAAATCGTCAAAAATTACTTGGAAACGGGAATTTAAATGGTTGGCAATCATCGAGTTATGAATCATCAACAGAAAATATACCTAAAAAGTTTTTAACAAAAAATGTTGAAGACGATTATAATGATGAAATGAATGAAAACGATTATGGCAAAAAATCACATCGAAAACAACAACTGCCATATGTTTTAGATAATAGTGGAAAACGCTATGAGACAACAATAACAATACCAAAACGCTCTCCAACCGAACAACTGTCAGCTACTGCTAATGTCTATGATCAACAGCAATTATCCTCAGCAAATTCAAGAAAACTTAGTTCCATATCGGAAAAAACGGAAAAAACTGAAACAGATGATAGTGATGGTGATTTAAGAACAAAACGAGCATACTATGATCAACAAAAACAGTCAAATAATAAAAATATAAGAAAAGGAAATTTAGCAAGAGCTACATTAAATTTCAATCAAAAACTACCACCTCCGATCAATTCAAAAAAAATTTCATTTGTCAAAAATCGACGAATACTCGGAAATAAAATTCTAACAAATAATAACGATGAGGACGATGACAACGATTCAGGTAAGATCTCTATTACATTCAACTATAGAGTGTCATAAACACTGAAAAATTAAAAATACGATAATTTACAAGTCATTTTAAACTCATTTTATTTTTTACCACTAAATAAGCGACAAACGGTTGATAAATGCATTTAGATATCAAATGTTTATAAATAATTAGTTATAAATCAATTTATGACTATTTATAACTATTTGAACTTTTAGAAAATACTTTTAGACTCCTTACTAGTCGTAAAAAGCTATACTACATAGATGTGAAGTGGAAAATCATTTCTAACTGTCATTTTCTTTTTGTTCAAGGTGTGGAACGCTCATCATCTGAAAAATCGTTTGAAGATAATAAACAATTACACCACCAAGAAAAGAAAAAGTCACCACCAGCACTTAGTTTTAGTAATTTATTTGTAACAAGTACCATACATCAAACTAATGTTGATGAAGCAGAAGCAGCAGAAAGTTTAACAAAAAAATCACCTTCAACTGCCTCGTCATTATCGGATAAAGAATCCGAACAACAATCAGTATCAACACCTTCAAAAATTGTTACCATTAAAAAAACAATTTTGAAGAAAAAACAACAATCACCATCGCCGGATCAAGATCAAAAACCACCGTCTTACACGGAACAAAAACATTTAGCTTCGCCATTAATAAACGATGAACAGAAACAACATACGCCTTATTTTGAAACGACGATCGTGTCGTCTACGGCTAAACCGGATGTATTAACGTCAAAATTCCTTCTACCATTTAAATCGAAACCTTTACCTGTATTACCAACACCCGCTCCCAGATCTACTCTGAAACAAAACGTGATCAATGGTATAGATAAACAAGATGAAAGTAACGTGTAAGAATAATAGTTTCTAAAGGAGAAGATCATCGAATATCAAAAATTTGATATTAAGAGCTGAATTTTTTTCAACGTTATTTGTATCTTTTTTTATTGAATCTCGCTTTATTAATTTGACTATGTCAGACAAGTATCTAATTTTAGAGAAATATTGTAAACTTTTATAGTATGTACGTTTTACGTACATGTTTTTTCGTCTATTATTGCTATATTTTTCATGTATGAAAATTTGTTTCTTCTGTTTTAGAAAAGTGTTAGATTAAACACTGTACAAAGAGAAAAAAAAAGTATTGCATCAAGTTCTTTTAACAAACATGAAGTCATGTATTTTGTTTCAGTTAAAAAAGAAAATTTTCCTTAACTGAATATGAAGAATGATGTGTTTTTGTGACATACAGTGACATAATCTGTCTTTTTATTTCCAATGTACACACATACTACGTTCGTTAAAGTACCTTAGAGAAACAACTGTTGATTTCATACTAATTCACTTCTGTTTTTTTTATGGATGCCTCATCAATTTATTTCATTTTGGCTTCCTAGTGTTAAAGATGCAAGAAAAAAAGTTTAAGGTTCAACGATAAAACCGATTACTAAAGAGCTTGTTTTAACTTCATTTTAAGTAGAGTGACAATGAATGTTTCGTCATGAAGTTTTATTAAATATTTTCAATGAAATATAATAAACAAATAATTTTGATTCGGACAATTTCAATAATGAAAAACTAAAGATTAAACAAATAAAACGTTTTAATTACATAAATTGTGCATGAATTGAATATGAGATTTTAGAATAATGTAAAAATGGGTCTGTATTAACGAAGAAAAATAAAAAAAATTGAACTAGTTCAATATTCATTTGCGAACAAAATCAAGAGTTTATATATCACCGTTATTTGACTCTATTTCTTTTGACTCATTTTGTTTCAATATAGTATATTCTTCTTTCAACTTTTGTACAATTTTGCGATTTTTTTCCTCGGTTTTATGAGCTGGAGATTCCTTATGGATATCTAACATTTTTATCGAGTTGAGCTCTTTCCAACAAATGTTACAAACAATAAATGGTCGAACAGGTGCTGCAGCAGCTTGATTTTCAATATTTTGTTGTTCCTCTTTTGCATTGACAGATGCTGTTAACGCTTCCTCTTCTTGTTTCATATATTTTGTATATACTTGTAAACGATTTCGATGTTTTTGAAAACTATCAAAATGTATTTGAGAATTACTTTGGCCAGTAAATCGTACATTACACAATTCACAATATCTTTAAAACAAAAATTAATAAACATGTTTTAATTTATCGCCTGCGCCACACCATTTTTTTTTTCTAAAAATCTGTAAGGGAAATTCTAATACGAAGATAACGTCTCTCTCACATGAAATTTTAACTACGCTTTCAACTTACGGAGGGTAATACCAAGAAAGACAGTTTGGATCAGCTTTAATAACATCGGTTTTCTCCGGTTCATTTTTTACACCAGGTTCAGACAGTTCACTATCAATATTGTGTGATGATTCTGATTGAACAGCTTCATCCTTCTCATTTGAAATTACTTGTGATTGTGAATCATCAGAAATATTGTCCAACGACATATCTGGAAAAAAAATGATTAATCTTTGGAATAATTGTAAAGCAATAATATCTCAGGCAAAATAAAGCTATTTTACATATATTAACTGCTTCGTTCAATTACCATTAGTTTTTGAGAACAGTTTAATAAATGATCGAATACAAAACTTTCAATTAAGACGACATTCGATAGCAAAAATATCACAACAGCAATAAAACGGGTAATGAAAGAAACAAATTTATGTACCATATTTCAAACGAAAAATGGGTTTTTTCCTAAAACAAATACTTATATAGAACAAACATGACGCGCTTAGTTTAAATTTTTGTGCCAAAATGAAGTCATATTAAGGAGAGAAAAACCCGTTTTTTTCACAACACTTACAAAACTTAAACCAGCGTTAGTATTGCACCGGACTGACAGCGTCAGTTTTTATAGTGTTTCGATAAATAATTTTCTTGGCAATACATTAGATTAGAAATATTGAACATACTCTATTCTTTTTTGCTTTTGGTGATATGAATATTACAAAGCGTCAATATTTTAAGAATGACGCCTTGTTTTTCTATTATTTCGATGAAATATTGTATCCATATTGTCGAAAACTATGAGAGAATCTAAAGTTGTAGCTAAATAGTCGAAAGAACTTTATATCAAAACATAACCATTATTTTGAGAACAAATCAGACTGCTAAGTTAAAGATCGGATCACTCAAGGCAAACACTCAAAATTACAAAAAAAATGTATCAGTAATCAGAAGTTACATGGTCGCTTTTCTAGTCGTCGTTTTTGTTCGCTTCATGATGAACATAAACGGCGTTATTGTCGCATATGAACCGACAAATTATCAAAAGATTACATTGAGAAATTTTTTGAATAATTAAAAGATTATTACTATGTACAAATAGTGCAAACGTCTACAAATTACTTTGTCGGAAGAGGCCTCCGCAAATAATTAGAAACTTGACGAATGGAAGAAGCTTCTTTGAAACTTATCAAATTACTTAACATAAGACGTGATGTTTTGCAAAAATTTACTAAAGATTTTTATTAAAGAAACATAAAATGGAGATGATGAATTTGATATTTGTTTGGACCTGAAAATGTCTCTTTTGCATCGATCTCAAGTAATTCAAAACCAACTTTTTCGAAAAAATCCGTTTCTGTTAGTTTATAGAGAGAATAGAGTTACATATAGCGATGAAGTATTAGGGCTAACTAACAAGTTTGTAGATATTCCAATAGAAAAAGTCAGATTAAATAATAATAACGAACACATTTTTGCCTTGTGCAGTTTTTCTTGTCAAATGGGTCACAAATGAAGATTCGAATCAAATTTTATAGTGCAATTCTTGTCTTTTGAAATTCGAATCAAATTAGACAAAGAATCGAAGGTAAACATTACATATAGCTTCGCTTTGATGGAAGTTTTGTATTTTTCAAAAATTAGGAAACGTCAAATGTTCAGGTTCTTAACCGAACTTCACACGTAAAAAAGCGAAAAATCACACGTCTAAAAACTACAGCAATTCGGCTAATTATAGTAAAATCTAGCGAGCGATTATTTCCTTCTTGATGCAACATGCCAATTATCATATCAGATATATTAAATGTTGTCGTTTTTCTTTTATTATTATTTAACAAAAAAATTTATATTTTTTCCATAATACACATTATAAATGTTGTGCATGAACGAAAAGAAATATAACGCTTAAACATTATATGAACGAAAGAAGAATGATATTTTCTATAACAATAAAAAGAAAAACAGCAAAACAATATTTTTGTTGTTGTTATTGTTGATGCTTTGTTTGTTATACTTGAATTTATTTCTTTTTGGCATCTTTGACTTGTGATTTTTTTGTACCACGTACTTTTTTCATACGATTTTTTCTTTCTTTACGTTGTTTACGTGCCGTCTTCTTTACTTCCAATAGACCATGTCTAATTTGACGATATTTTGGTTCAAATTTTTTGGCAAAATCTAACGTATCATAGATTAATGCAAATCCTGTTGATTTTCCACCACCAAAATTTGTTCGGAAACCAAAGCAAAATACCACATCCGGTGTTGTTTTATATAAATGTGCAACTTTTTCACGAATATCTTTTTTAGATAATGATGCACGATCAGGATGTAAAACATCAACAACCATTTGTCGTCGACATAATAATCGATTTGATTTAAATTTTCTTGTACGAATCGTACACGCCGAATCCGACATTTTTTCAGGTGTTTAAAATATCTAAAATGATAAACAAATAATGATTAAACTAAAATAAGAGAATCAAACACACAAGAGTATGTTGTATGAGTTATAATAACAAGTTAGCTCTTTTCGTTTCTTCCTGCCTGCTGCCTTGAGTGAAGGTAAGAAAATATTGCTACTCCTAATGATTTAGATAAGATGAGAATAAAGAAATGAGTCTGAAACATAAGTTCGTAAAACAGTCGATAGATTCACTCTATCTAGTGATATATATACATAAGTTTAACACTAAAAAAATAGATTATATATTCATCACATATCTATAACAAAAATAACAATAGCAAATAAAAAATTTCGGTAATAGTAAATCTAAAAAATAGTTTCGTATTTTCTTAAGCTAACTTTTTGTCAAAAAAACGAAAATTAGAGCATAGATAGTCTCAATTTAAACCGTATTATAAGGCTTAAATATAAGTACTAACAACATGTAGACGCTTGAACCACAAATTACAAATAGAAAGTGAGCAGCGAATTCTTACTGAAACCTAAGACATCATGTATACGTTATCAGATCTGAGTTTAAATCGAACTTCAATTCTTTAAAGATAAATCATCTATTTTTCGAAGTATCGAAGAAAGAACAGGAGACAAGCTCAACAAACGTACGCATCTGCAATCTCTAATGAACATTGTATATGAAATAGAAAAAGAGACATACTTTCAACAGTGTAAAAAATATATAACTAAGATCTGGATGCTTTAAATTTTGAAGTTCTTTTCACCGGTTCTATGTTTTGCATAGTATCATCGGGAATTCCCGGAATACGTTCAATCATTCGTCCAGTAAATGCTGTTATCGCAGAGGGTGAAGGATTAGCAACAGAGGCCTCGTTTCTATTTATCTCATCTTTTCCGACAACAAAATTTTCTGTATCAGCTTTTAGTATTGATTTTTGTACTCCTTCCTTGCGACCTATCTCTCCAGGATGAAAAAATTTCAATTGCGAATGTTGTTTTATTTCGTTTTGGGAGTTATCTTGTTGTTTGTCTTGGTCTTGTTGTGGATTTGAATGACGTATAGTGATTATAGAATGCCGTTGATATTCCTCTTCTTCTTCTTCATCATCAGTTTCCTCAGGAGACTTTTGTTCTAAATTATCTTTCCACTGAACTTTTTTTTTTGTTGTAATGGTTGGTATATTCTTGGTATCGTTTATTTGTTTACTTTCATCTATTTTAAAACTATCCGCTAGTTCCAGTGCACGCTGTTGTAATAACTGACGTTCATTTCGTATTTGTTCATCAGTCAAATTTTCACGACGACTTTTTTCCACGGTAGGCTCTTTCATCTGAAGGTCTTCTTTGATATCAATATAGTTGGATTTTTCATTAATAATGTCTTTGGTGTATTCTTGTTGTTGTTTGAATAAATTATATTCAGCATTGTATTTTTCCAGTTGTTTTTCTATATTTATCAACCTACGATCAACTATATTTATTGCCTGTTTACACGAACGTTGAACAAAATAATTTTCACCTAATAATACATTTAATTCATTTGTATGAATAATTTTGCCAGGTATAAATGCCAAACGTCCAAATGGTATCATACAATCGTAGGATAATACATCAGGCATCGTTTGTAAACGTTGTTTTAATGTGAGATAATCTGAACGAAATTTAGTCCATTTTTCAGTATTTACATTAACATCAGACAAATATTTGTCTTGTTCTGTAGACAAGCGTTCAAACGCTTCTAATGTCTCTGGTTGTAAATCAGACATAATCATAAAAAAGACCTTTTATTTAACTGACTTGTGGAATCATCCAACACATCTAAAATAAACAAATAGTAGCCATTCGAGAAATATGTAATTAAAACGCTGAATTGATAAAAGTAGGAATCACTCCATATCTTAGAAAAAAAGGCTAAGATGACTATAACCATCTCGGATTCAAGTGACTTCCCTAGACCTCAAAAAACCCAGACTTCTATATCAGTTCTTTTCTGACAAAAGTGGTAAATTTTTTCTGAAAGAACAGCACTTTAACAAGTAATTGGTTTCTCTTGATGTTGATCCTCTTTGCTTAGATCCTAAGAGTATATTCAAAAATAATCAGGGATAATTCCATGTGAAAAACTTTCCGTCCCTACTTTTCACCGCAAAAAATTCAGTAACAACATCTTTTCCAAGCATATCTCAATCTTTTTCCATCTTTTCTGTTAATGCTGAAATACAGATCATGTTCGATTGCAATTGGAATAAAAGGCTGACATCATTTCTATAAAGTTCAAAACAGTACCTCCACAGGGAGTATGTTTATATATAGAGTGCAGTACTGATTGTTAAGAATACATAGTGCTGGTTGGCTCTTTCATTACCAATCAAAAGAAGAAGTCGAGATATGACTCACTCACCGCACCTTTTTTCTTATAGCATTGTTTAGTTTTCTTTTAGCTCCAAATAGTAGTTCCACGGGGCCAGGATCAATGTAAATTGACGTAGATAGTCTCTCTTAGGTACTACTATTCGGAGTTAAAAGGAAACAACGTTCTTATAGTCTGTCTGAAATGGTAGCAGTATTTCTAATGAGAATCAGAGTCAGAATGTACTGATACACTCTGCTGTAGTATACTCAGTGTATTGTGTTCTTCCTCACACTTGACTGCGTAAAATAGTGTGCACATTTAATTTTGTTAGGGTACTGCATACTCTATTTCAGCGCGTACACTCTCTTATTAGAAACACGGACTATTAGTCTATTACACGATTGTATTTGACAGGGTCCTGCAATTATAATGTATCGCTACTCTATCCCGTTATTTCCTCAAATTTTAGTGAAAATTGGCTTAGAATGTCTGAAAAGTTTATGTCTTGTGTTTGAAATAACAAGCATGCAGAATAAACTAAAAAACTTCCAAGCAACTCTTTACCAATTAGTGAAAATCATAAGTCTGAAGCGGTATAAAAAGCTAATTTTTACTATTTGTTTCTATGTTCTTGTACTGTACCACTTGTTCTCATTTCACGTTTGTCTTTATTATGATCTGACCTAGTTGCTCTCCTGCGCAGTTCTATCTGGTGTATGTTCTATACCGGTGACTTTCTCTATTCAAGTTTTCTATATTATAAGCAAAGTTATTTTTTTCTTTTCTACAGCTGTAACTTTTCTTTGCAGTATGGCAAATGCACTCACTTCTTTTCTGCTCCATTGTAACGAATTGTAAATACCGGTTTTATTCTTGCATTTTAGTTTTGATCCTCTTATTAATTAAATATGCTACATCACATTACTGCATGTTGATTTATATTGTGTCGTATAAATGTCACGGGAAAAATTATGTCAGCTATCGACTATGAACGGATATGTTTGGTAAGTCCAGTTTGATTTGTGAACAACTTGCATCAAGTGTATTTCCTCCGTCTCTGCGAAACACGACAGAATATGACGAATAAGATTTGAAGTGAGCATGTTAAACCGATTTCGAGGCAAAATGGTATTACAAAATGATCACATTTCGCGCGGATTTACGATTTTTTAAGGTGGGGATGCGAGGCTGGAAGCACGCACTAACAGTGTTTTTTCTTCTGAAGGAAGGTGCGATCGCACCAACCGTACCTTCCCTAAATTCGCCACTGCACGTATGTCCTTTATTTCTCACTCTCTCTCTCTATTCGACTTTTATCGTTTTAGTAATTTGACAAAAGATGCTATACGTCTTCAAAGCACTCCGTACGATAACTTGATTGGAATTAAACTCATCAAAGATGACAATGTAAATAAACGTTGAATTAGCACACGGCAGAAATGATTGTCAAATAATATTTTATGTTTAGTTTGAACTGTTGAACAATACATCTTCGGGTAACTTTGTTCTTAATGATCATCAACAAATTTCAAGTGGCGAAACTGTGGTTGTTCATGATAAAGATCAATTGAGATTCGATAAAT